CTCCAAAATCTTTAGTAGTGACATGATATGTGGCCTTTTAGCGCGATAAATGAAATAAATAAAAGGCGTTTTATAAGAATCAGATGAATGAGATACTATAATGAGAATAAAGCTCTTTCCGTTAGCAATGTCGTTGTTTATGTCTATTCCTTCTTAATATCTAAAAATGGTCTAATATAGTATTAAGCTTAATATATTTTGAAAGAACATCCTATTATATAGATATATATTTTAAGGGAGGATATGAATTCATAACTCGATCTCCATTATTGATTTATTACTTCTTCTTCTGATTCTGGGTAATACTTTAGAGAAATATAATATACCATGCATTTGAAGAAGATTTTAAGTTTTTTTTATTTCCTAAAAGAGAAAATGAAGTAGTTTTAAATGTAATCCAATGAATTTGTTTGGATATTTTAACTTGCATAAAATACACAGGAAGTGTGTTAATACTCATAATAAAAAATAAACGTGTTTGAGAATACACTAATGCTGCAATACGGATGAATATGGATGCGCGTTTAAAAACCTTCAAAGCTGAAGTAATACAAGGCAAAAAAGCTTCAGATATATCTCTTAAGTGAATAGAACATATTGAATTATAAGAATGATAATCAAGGATCTGCCGACAACACAACAATAAATATATATATATATAATATATAAAAAAGAAAAAGCATCAGATTGTAGAGAAATCGGAGAAGTATTTTCGAACTTTGATTAATATAGTTAAAGTTTTCATATTGGTATTGTAAACTGAATGATGACTTATTATTTTATTTTTTAGCTGAAATTAAAGGCACAAAATATTACTCTTAGTTTTTTTTGATGCCCAACAAGCTGCAATGCTGACAAATTCGGAATTTTTGAATTAACTCAAAAATAACATCTTCGGTAATGGTTGACGAACTAATGTCAATGAATTCTGAGATCAGCACACTTCTTCTCTTTGGTCCCTACAGAGTCGTTGCGGAGGTGGGATTACAGAATGAATACCTTCAGAATTACTGACCAAAGTGACATATTTCAGAACAGCGTAACAACTACATCTTTGTAGGTTTACAGAATATAGCCTAGCTCCTCAAAAGACACTTGTAATATTAACAGCTTATTTTATCAGTCCTACGTAAGGATGGACTGCATATAAAAAGTACAGATCTAATGGAAACATTTTTTAGGACAGGCTTTTGCGCTAGAACCACGGCATATACCCGAAGCCCCTAAAATCAACCCTTGACATAGGTACAACATTTTACCTCGAATACTTAATACTCACACCTTTTACCGGAAAGCAGCCCAGATCAAGTATAAATCGACATGTCCTCTACGGGTATTCCAAAAGAAAAGGACGCGACAATCAATAGGTTGGTGAATAGAAAAATTTGCACTTTTATGATGTCGCCCCGCTCGCTGCTTGATGATTTGTCGGCATTCTTATCAATCTACCGAATCCAGATGCGGTATGTCAAGGGCACCCCCGCGACAGGTTTAAAATAGTTCTTGGGAAAATAAGGAATCCACTAAGGCGACAAAGGGGCGAAAGACAAGATTACTAATGCCTTAAGTGGATTGAATTGACCATAAAGTCAAAAAAAAAGTACCTAAAATTTTAGTTTCAAAACTTCAGCGACGTAAACCTAATGAAATTACCCCTGAATAAATTTTTAATGCTCCGCAAGATCCCCACTCTTGAAGGACGCGCCAATGACCTTTATGTTATTCCCGACTTCTGCGTTTCATTAACTTTGAGTTAAGAATATTTTGGGAAATAATGATAATAATATTAAGACTTGAATCTGAATGCCCATAGCCCCCCCCTCCCCGAAGTATAGTGAGAACACCCCGACGCAGTGAAATATAATTTTCCGATTAAATACCTAAATGGGGAAGCTTTGAAATGTTAGGATTTAACGTAGTTAATATAAATTCAAACCCGGTTTCTATGATGTTGACGTGTAATTTATCAACTTATTTTAATAACCTTATATTAAAAATCACCCCCAAAAGCCACAAGGTCGCGGGCTTGGATTTTTAATCGCGTCAATATTATTACATTTTCTTCGAATAACACATATGAGATTCTTAAATAAATTCGATTATATTCCCCATACCAAAGGGAATAAAGATTAAGGATTGAATTTATTTTAAAGATGCCGTGGGGTTTTAGAAAATGAATTTGCCTCAATTTTAAATCATTTACCAAGGGCTATTATATCTTTAAGAGGGGCTAATAAATTCCGAACTTCCATTTCACTCATATTTACGCCCCTTTTTATTATTTTTTTTAATATTTCTATCAATATGAAAACCATAATGCGTTTTCCATTTATCACTTAATTTTTTTGAGAATTTTTTTATTAAATTTATCATTTGGTTCATTTTATTTCCAAAATTTTCCAAATGGTCTTATTTTTTCACCAACTCTTAAATGCCATGGAATGTTTATTAAAATTGTTTTATTATCAGATAGCGACCCTTGGGGTCCCACTTGCCGAACTATTTAAGATTTTTTTTTCTTTATTATTACTGATTGTTTGAAGCGGGAAAGTGTTTTGAAATAATTGTTGGGATGGAAATCAAACAAGAATCCAAAAAATGAACCCATGGCGACATTTAAATTATGGGTTCGTTAAATTTAGAACGAAAAAATCCGAAGGACCCAACATCGATCGTTGATAGGGTCGGAACGAAACGCCTTTATATTTCTACTTAATATCATCGGAGCCAAACCGCATATAAATTTCATACGTTTTCTAAATAAATGTTTCATATAAAGGCCTCAAAATGTTTTTTTGTGCTTGGATTCTAAACAACCACAAGAATATAATCCATAAACCTTTAAACAAAATCGGTTTATTCCACAACCAATTTCCATAGCACCTCAAGAAAAGACAACTCCCATATGCCATATATAGGGAAACAAAACACAAAAAATATTGAACGCAAGTTATTATGATATCGATATTATTATTCTTAAAAAATATTTTTGACAATGTCTCAATTAACGACCAAAATTTTAAACTAAATTCACCGACAAAAACTACAATAAATTTGCCATTCCCCTTAAAAACCCGCATAATGACATTTGCTTTCCTCGATGATTTTTTTAAAATAACTTGTTTAAAATCGAACGCATTTTGTTTAGTTTAACCCTTTTGTTTTAAAATGTAAAACATAGAATCCCGAAGAAAACAAGCCTTTCGGCAATTAATTCGAATAATTTTGTTTCTGGGATCTAAAAAAAATTCTTATTTTTATGTGCGGGTGATATTGGTTCAAGGCAAATTACGGTTTCGAATGTTGTTTTTATATACGAAGGTGATGATTAAGATTTTTTTCGTCGTTCCAATATCCCAATTTCATCATCATATCCTTGATCGATTGTTTTTTATTTGAATTTTATAAGAGGCAAATCGTTCCAACCTCTTTAAGAAAATCTTAAATATCTTTTTTCATGCGTTTAGTAACGGATGTGTAAAATATTAAATAATTTTGATTATATTTCTAAATAAAATAATTATTTTAGAAAAACCAATAGCGTATTTTATTGACAATTTAAAGGATAATTTTATTCAACAGGCTTTTTTTAGCAGAACTGATGTTGGCGAGATGGATCCATAAAAACACAAATTTGATTGTATGATTATTTCTTTATAAATAAATATATAAATGTATATTCATAAGTTTTAAGTTGTTACATTAAATAGGATCCAAATGTTAAGTCGCGAATGAAAATCCATTTATGTGTGGCGGGAACCCCCGCTGATTGTTATTTTTGGAAAAGGTCAGCCAAAATTGAGCCACCGATTCGGAGGAATTTAAAAATTTTACGCCATAAATTTATATATAACTATAATGATAAATTTCACCCTAAGTTTTTATTAAAAATGAATCTGTAACTGTTGAATTTTGTTGCTTTGGGTGAATTTGTCGTCCTTTAAATTTCGGCGGGGCTTTTATGGGTCACATTTCGACCCTTGGGTGTTGGAACTTAAAAGGATGACCCCCCCCTTTTCTTTCCCCTTTTCTATAATAATAGCAATTAAAAACCTAACTCGGCAGTTTTCATTTTCCAAGATTGGTAAAGTATTACTGATTGAAAGGGTTTAAAAATCTTTTCCGGCAGTGTTCCTTCACAGCATTTAAGAGTAAAAATTTTTTCCCATGAAATTTTCTTTTTAACTCATCAAGTGGGCCATTCC